TTTTTTTTTTTTTTTTTTTTTAAATTCTTACCTCATGGATTAATTGTTTTTTTTATATATCAAATTAAATTAAATACATATAATACAATAAAAATATTAAAAATTGTATTTGGGAAGTGAGTGCTGCACAATCGCACTTTAAACTAAGCCAATTCGTTCTTACGTTACTGTAACGACCCAGATCCACCGCTAGCAGATATTGTCCTCTTTGAGCTTTCCCTTTCGGGCTTCCCCTCAAGGCTTTAAAACGCGTCTACTAGGGGAAGGTTTCCACAACCTTATAAATGGTGGTTTGTTCTCCTTCCCAACCAATGTGGGATATCACAGTTGCCTACAGCCAAGCGAAGTATACTCGAGCCTCTGGCTAAGTTTAAGAAGAAGGTTTTGGAAAACGAGGGCAGAGAGAGATTTTCGAAAGAGAGGTTTTGAAAGAGGTATTATATATGCAAGCAAAAGAGTAACAACAACGGCTCACAGTAAATAACTATTGGTAGGGAGAAGTTGATTAAGGAGAGTGTTTCACACATTTATAAATAAAAGAATGTTTCGTTCTCTACTCCAACAAATATGAATCTCACAATCCAACCCCTTGGAGCTCAGCATCCTCGCTGACATGCCACTCAGTGTCCGACTCAGACACCATTTGTAATAGTCGAAATCTATTACTAACAGATATTGTTCATTTTGGCTCATTACGTATGGACGTTAGCTTCACGGTTTTAAAATAGGTTTGCTAATGAGAGGTTTCACACGTTTACGATAAATGTTTTGTCCCTCTCCAACCAATTTGTATCTCAAGTATATATTTATTTTTAGTCGTCATTATTAAATTTAAGTTTTTATATTTTAAAATGAAAAATTCAAATAAAAATTTAAGAAGTTAAATTAAAATTGTAACTTATTATAATTAAATTATATGTTTAATACATTAATTTTCAATTCTGTAGAATTATATTATATCAATCTTAATAATAGATTAGTTAATTTTAAATTTTTTTATTGTGTTGAGTTATTTATTAAATATTAAATTTAAATTTGAGGGAATTATTTATTTTGTTTTTACGGCCTATAAAGGGCGCCTTCGATGCTTCATTTCAATGGCGTAAAACCCTGAACCCTTGACTTTCATAGCTTTGTTCTAGTTGTCTATGTCTCGTTTCAGAGTTCTTCACCGTCGAATTGATTCCCAACTTGGAAGCTATTTCTTCAGTTCACAGTCTACAAATTCCCTGCAATTTCACTCTCTTCCTTCTACTTCTCGAAGATCTCGAACTTTCTCGCCGAAAATCGATGGCGGGATCGGACCAGAAATTGTAGATGTGAAGAGGAATATACGTTTGGATTCTGTGGTTAACCAAGGCGCGAGATCGGGCGGAAGTAGAAATGAGGACAATGTGCTGAAAGGGAGAGTGGATTCGAAGGGGCGAGAGAAATTGACAAGGGAGGACGCTTTGGTCCGTAAAGAGCTTTCTCCGGACATGGAGATGTTTGTGAGACATTTATACAGGGAAGGATATTTTAATTATGCGAATTTTTTGCCTGATAACAAACTGGTTCTCAGTTACTTTGAATGTCGTCATGGACGGGATTTTATCAAGTCTGCGGCTGAGCGGTTTGGCAGAGACAATCAAGAAATTGCGAAGTAAGAAGAGTTTATGTTGTTAGTCTGGTGAATTTTCATCGTCAATGCGTTGATATTGATATCTCTGTTTCGGTTTTTGTGCAATTTTGTTTGAAAATTTGTGAGTAGATCATGTGTCTGATGTAGTGGATAGCTCTTGATCTCTTGCCACCAACGATTTCATCTATGAAGTATGAAATGCTAAGCAATTCAGAAATAGGTGGGAGAATAAAGCAAATCTTACGTAATTGGAGACAAAAAATTAGTATTATTTGGAAGTTCATGCTTGTAAGTCATTTAATGTCAATTTAGCAAATGGTGATGTGAAACTGCTGAAGCTAATTCCGATGAATCATGTGTATTTTTTAGCCTGTGCATTGACATGGGGAAACTATCCTTAGTTCTAGTTTTGAAATTTTTCAAAACATGCTCTTATACATCTTGTGGCAATCAAGACGAAGAAGAAATCGAGGTGATTGGTTGGTTTGAGAAGATATTGTGTTCATGTTTGCTTTTAAAATAAGAAACTGTTATTAGTTTCTGTTAGGGGTCAGATTACTCCAACTATATTTAGTATCATAAATGTAAAAATCTTAGTATGAATCATTCTCAGATGCATTATTTTTTTGGGTAAAATTCTTAGATGTTGATAGTTAAGGGTATGAAAGCTATGAAAAATAAGGACGATGGTGAGAGGTTTTCACACCCTTACAAATAAACGCGCGTCTACTAGGGAGAAGTTATCACACCCTTATAAAGAATATTTCGTTCTCCTCCCCAACTGACGTGGGATCTTATAATCAGAATTTTGTTTTCATTATTCAAATATGATAATATTGGCTGTTATTACTATTCCCAACCATTGTTTTTTGCTGGGTTTGTTGGTTTATAGAGGTTGTTTGGTTCAAATGGTTCAATTTTCAAAATTTATTGTACTCTTATGTCTCTCCAGTCGGTTCAATGTTGATGTTCATCTACCAAACTGACAATAGTTCAATTGGTTTTGGCATTAGTAATCCTCCACCAAAAAGTTATTCACCTAAGATATAACCGACCTGAACCGACCTCTAGTGCAAATTGTGCTGCTGCTGATGTCTGTGCTTGTCATTTTGTTTGCCTGCTGCTTGATAATTGCCTGAAGCCTTATGCTACTGATAATTTCAAGATTTTGAAGGAAATAATGTTTTCTATTCCATCTTTCTGGTTCTGGCAGTTGTGTTTCATTATGAAGACATACCCCTATTGTTTCACGTCTTGAACTCTGAGTCTTGGGATTTTCAGATGGTTGTCTGGCAGTGACTTGAGAAAGGTTGCTTTATTTGGATGCCCATCCACTGCTAGAAGAGATGTTTTTGCTGCTAAAAGACTGCGAAAATTCTTTAGTATCCAAGAAGACACAGTAAGCAAAAGCTCAGAAATCATTACTTCCCTTCTTCTATTACCATTTAAATCTTTGTTTTCTTCTCTCTTCAAATTATCCGCAGGTTTGTCACAATTGCACCTTGAGACAGTCATGCAAGTATGTGAATCAAGGTGTTTGGAATTGCGGCACCAAGAATTTAAATTTGGCGGTCGTTATGCAGGTTATTACTCAATATGACTTGCAAGCTATACCAAAACAACTTATAATACCTGAAGACATTAAGGCTTCTGTAAGCCGATTGCTGAAAGAGATATTGAAACTGAGCCCGACCGTGTCGAGGGACTAGTTTTCGCCGCAGCATACGTTGATCAACCCCATCCAATACTAGAAAATCTGGGTTTCTCTCTGGTGGCTGTTGAACCTTCAAGGCGTCCAGCTTGTTCATACGGCATGGTGAGTTTGTGAGCAGTAAAGTAAATACTCTGTTTCTTTGATGGACATACACGATTTAGAGTGCGTTAGCTT